CCCCAAAACCCCAAAACCCCAAAACCCCTTTTTCAAAAAATGTTAAATTCGTTCGTGATTTTAGAGCATTCCTCCAGTGATTGGGTTGAAGAAGTCATGGGATTTTGGCAAGTTCAGGCTAAGGTCTTGTCTCATAGGGATTTTTGAGTGCATAGAGTACTTCTTGTGGCCAAGATGTTGAGAGTAATGTTGGAAGTTACTGTAGACAGCAGGGGGATTTTGAGTATTTGGCCTGTAGAGAGTTAAGAATTTTCAGGGAGATTTCAGATCGAGGCTGAGAAAGTGTGATAAGAAGGGCCTTACATGTTGATGGTGTTGAGATTGAGATTGACCATTTTGTTCCTGCTGTAATTTGATTGTATTGGTGGGCTGGCTTTGGCTGGAGCGTTTGAGATCTCAAGTGAGCTGTGAATTCGGGGCATAGTAGTCTTTTTAGTTTTATCAGTAAGTTCTTGTTCAGGAATATTCCGCTTGGTTAGCCTAAAGTGATAAAACTTGCCAACTTACGAAGGGTACATCATCTCTGTTGAGTTGTTGTTATTAATCTGAATGTTTTGAATGCCTGACATTCTTGAATTCATACCAATAGTTTTCTGCTGGAGCTTCTTTAAAACTGTTGATTTGCTTCTATCCAATAAATTTCCTAAATGATCTATGCTTTGGTTGGCAACTTGGATGTTATTCTTGTGCTTTCTTCCAGTCCTATAATTAAGTATAAAAAATACAAGCCATATCTTGCCATCGAGTTACTTTGTCTAGTATACTCTTGTCCGCTTTTATTTAAGTCAGTTGCATCGATAGTTCTGTTAGCTCCAATATTAGCAAATCTTTCTACAGATTTGCATTTCTCTTCCTTTTCAGAATAATTATTCGAACCAATGTTTCATTTGTTGAGTAATCTTTCTCTATCACTCAGTTTGAGATCAAGGTTTCTTTTGAGCATTTTCTGATGCTTCTCTTGATTCTGAAGTTCTGTATGATAGATATTCTGTCTTTCCCTCTTAATCTTCATCTCTTCATTCATATTATGAATCTCATTATCAGCTTGCAATTGAAGATAATTCTTATACTCCTTATCATTGAGCTTAGCTTCGATTTCATTGATCTTTTTGTCATGGATTTGCCAATCTAAGATAATATTTGTCTTATAGCTCACTTCTCTAGTCATGGAATTAGGATCTTGAGGCTGAACTTTATCAGCCTTTTCAATATCTAAAAGACACTTCTTGAGCACTCTTTCCATTTGGAGGAGCTCTTCCATTTCAGAGCTAGAGTGACTCCCATTTTCCTTATGCTTAGCGATTGCTTCATCTAATTTGTTTTTGATCCTAGTTGTTCTTTCTTTTAAAACATGAAGATCTTGAATTTGGCGTTTAGTTTCATACTTCCCTTGCTGGCTAGTCCTGTTAAGCAGATATGTGGCAGCTTGGTTTTCCACAAAAGCATCAAATTGTTTACCATAATACTTATCTTTCTCCTTCCTATGCTCTTGCTTCATTTTGAGTTGTCTGGCTGCTTGATGGTTATATGCTAAAATATCTCTTTCTTGTTGTCTGTTTTGTATCTTTTTATTTAAAAAATCAGTACGCAGCCTGTATTCGATTGGGTTCTCCTTAAATGTATCACCATCTTGCTTTCTGCCTTCTAGTGAGGTTTGCTGAGCTCTCATCTGGTTCAGGAGTTTATTATCATCATTGATTTTCTTCAATCTATCTACTGATTTGAGCCTTTTCTGAATCATGAGATCTAGATATTTTACATAATTCGTTCTTTTTGAGACTAGAAAATACTTACCGTTTTCTTGGTTGTACTGATCACAAAGACGCATTCTTTCAGCCATATTGGTCTGCTTTTTCAACTTTCTCTTGCTATTCTTCAAATTGCTGATATATTTATTCTGCTGGTCAAGCACGCTTTTGTAGTCCTCTTTATTTCTTTCTCTGAGTGATGAAATCATGAGCGATAGAAGCTTCGTCTTGTCTGACTTTATCTTGGATAAGTGATTTCCAATCGTCCCCATCAACTCCCCTGTTTTGTTGGGTGACACCTGATAACAAGAGTGAGGATTCATCGTTAAAATCTAGGTTATAGATAGTCTCAAAGAACCACCATTAAGAAAGGAGTGCTGAGAGTAATATTTTAATCGTGGATATCGCTTACCTTTTCTCCAATCTGTTATATCTGCAACAGTGAACGCCATTAATAATAAATTTAGCAACGGTAACACTTTCTGAATTAAATTCGGAGTTAAAGGGGTTTTGGGGTTTTGGGGTTTTGGGGTTTTGGGG